AGAGCCGCGTTTCAGGAATGTAATGAGTTTCCAACAGAGCTTAATCACATGTTGACATTTGTGCTAGTTAGAGGCTATAGCTCTCTCCGTTTCTCTGCTGTCAAACCATTTTGTCATTCCTAATTAAGGGAGCATGGCTTGCATTGACAGGCAGGTATTTACTTGTGTTTAACCCCATCTACCCTTGACTGACTGTTTCATAACTACAAGGCCCCTCTGTCCACACGCATACAAATATGGCTTTAGCTCCCAGAGGTCCGTGTTTTCATGCTTGCATTACAAACAATTACACACATCAGCCTTCAAACATTCCCACCCCCACCAATGTATCTTGTCCTTTCCTCCTCCTCCTCCTCCTCCTCCTCCAACCCCGTTCCCCTCCGTCAGCTGGGAATCTACCCCCGATCCTAACAGATGTCCCCTGATTTGGGCGAAATGACAACAAAAGGCCGGGCTCTGAAAAAGCCACGGCTTTCCCATCTTGCCCCGAGCTTTCTGCTCCCATACAAAGGGCAGCGGATTAGCAGCTTTTAGTACATGAAAAAGCCCCTCATCCTGAAAACTGCCCCCTTAACTGGGCCCTGAGATTTCTATAGGGTCACTATAAACCCCTTCAACTCTACTTGGTCCCAAACAAAACCTGCCGTAGGCCTACCGAACCAGCATCCTGTCTATGCCCCAACAAATTCCTACGCTTCACCAAGCAAGACCCCTGATAACCATCTTAAACCAGCACACATCACTAAGCTAGTACTAGGACATTTGGAAAATGGGATATCTAAGATATTCAAGAGGAATCTACCTTGGATTCACTGTCTTTATTGTTTTGGTTCCACTTAATGACTTGAAGGTATTTTGGAGTCCAATTGGAGCCCCAGAGAAAGGTCATAAACACTCCAAGTCTATCAAACAAAGATCCAACCCTTTAATCTGGTTCATTGGGGTCTGTAAACTATCGAGCCAAAGTGGAGAATAAGTAGACCAATCACAGATGGCATCTTGACCTCCAGCCATGGAGAACAGGGTGGGGACGGGTTTCCACAACCCTTCGGAGGGGTCATAACTCAGACTGAAGCCAAGGTGAGGCGTGTTTATGACAGATCTCCATTGTCTAAAGCTGGGCAGGACGCCCATCAACCCAGAGTGCCAGCTGGTCATCATACTTAAAGAGCAGAAAGCAGAAAAATCACCATGGTGGGGGTAAACAACAAGTGCCCCCAATAAAACGACCAAACATATCGAGACCAGAGAGAGGGGTGGAGGTTGGGTGGTGGGTATAACACGGATGTAACACCCTTCTATCGTAATTAACACATTATCACAGTGGCATCAGAGCAAGCGGAGCATATCATTGGTTTGAAATCCAGTCTTGCGGTGAGGGCTTTAAGCTTAGGCCTTGCTAGGGTGAGTGGGGAGAAGGTAGTAGCTTTTGGCTTTATCAGCACCGCCGCAGTACTGAGAGCCCAGAGACCGGATGATCAGTCCTGCAGCGTCACGTAGGCAACCGGCCAAGCGTGAGATGAAATTAAACTTTGAGCGAGATGGATCAATCCCGTCAGCAGGAGTGGGTTGCTTGGAATCTTATCTTGGATTTGCCGTTAACCTGTTGGACAGAATGGGCAACATAGGCCAGAGAGTTAATATAATTTACCAGCAGAGGCTATTCCTCATCTTCAACAAGGCTTGTCATGGACAATGTTGCGATTTACTCAGGAACTCGTCTGAACAAGTGCTGGATAATTCCGCCAGACTGACCGGTTGTCCCCTGGGTTGTAGAGTAAGGCGGCAACCGTGGCTGAACAGAGAGGCCTTGGCTCCTTCTGCTTGGACGTGCATGTGGATGCATGAGACAGTCGCATTAAGACCAGAAGAGTTCATTTCAAAGACACTGCACTCATTCTTTTATAACCACCAGACAAATTGCACCCACCATGAGCTGAAGAGCACTGATTTAGCACTCGGGACAAATTAAGAGGAATAAACACAATTAGCTGGCAGAGCTTAGGCACTGGCGAACATCTCTCTTCCCCTCCCTTTTCTGCTGATAATGTGAGGAGCTCCAGCGCAGCTGCCATGACCGTCACCACTGCATCTGCCATTCAAAACCCAAGCTGATAATTGCACTGCTCTCGCTTCTACACAAATTCACCTAATTTTATCTACGACTATGATCACATTGGCACACACGGGTTACAATAACCATCGTGAGAGGGAGCTTTTTGTATAATTGTTGTTTTGATATTTCTGCCACTCCATTAGCATTTCCTGCATTAAATCTATCCACGGCGCCATTGAATACAAGTCTGTGCGCAACACTATTCAATAAAATGACTCTTTGTGTACTGTAGGAAGTGATATATGATCTCTAATGCTAAAAGAAAACTAAATTCAAGAAAGATACTGCTTGTGGAGGAAATTGTATTATTATCTGAAATTTTGTTTTCTTTACTCTACTATAGAATGCTTCATCATCAATATGCTTGAGTGTTTGATGAACTGAGAGATAACAGGAAAGATAACAGGAAAAGTATTTAATGTGTGTGTGTGTGTGTGCAAGAGAAACATGAGACGAGAAATGCTATTTTATACCTAGCTTCTAAGAAAATAATTTGCATTACTTAGAAATGCATCTAGGGTACATAGGCTAGTTGGACACCTTAAATGGACACATAGGTTGAATATGCATTATGATTGGATGAGATAGAAGCATCCTGGTTTTATTATGGTATAAATGCTGAGTTTAAGTGTTCCTTCTTTTGTCGCACTCTGCAGCCAATCTGTATGACTGACTGTATGACTGTTAGACATTTCTTGCAGGAAATGAATATTCAAAAGACTTTCTGCCTCTTGCCTTATTGAAATAGAAAATTGCCTCAACACTGCTCATTAAAGCATGGCACATTTTATATTTAGAGTGATCATTAGCTACTCTAGCTCACATAAACAGAAGGCTAAATCTGTAATTCACACAAATGCAAGAGCGCTGCCCTTCTCTTCTCTTCGAAGTCGGAAGAATATTTATTTTGGCATAGCATGTCCAGAATCTCTCTGAGGCATTGTCCTTTGATCCCTATTTAAAATGGGGGGAAAAAGGTTACAGCGATAAGTGTAGGAAAACACAAAAAAAACGACACCGGAAGGAATAGCTTCGCAGAAATGAATTTCAAAACCTTAGGGAAGACACCTTACAAAAGACATTTCACCAGAACTCATATCCTCAGCTCAATTCAATTAACTTTTCACCCAGAGGTGACACGGAGTGCACACGGGAAATCAAAGTTAGTTCGGCAAACGAAGTTTTTACATCTGCTGAAAAATTCCTTCATTCTGACACAACCAGACTTCATTGATTTCTTGTTTGTTGTTGTTTAGCCGCAAAAGAAAAATGAGCGAAACTACAGGTCTATAGACCACAGTCATGGCTAACGGCTTCTGTTTGGCTGCATTCCTACGCATTTGTCTTAACATCTCTCAAGATCTGACAGTGATCAGCTATGATAAATTGTCCAATTATAGTGGCATTTAGAAACTAAAGCACACTTGTGAGTTTGCATCACAGAACAAAGACTGTGAAAACAAACACGTTTTTACCATTAATGCTCAAAAAGGTGGTACGTATTTCATGAAAGAATCATTGATGGCTGTCCTCGGGTAGCTCCTAGAGTAGATCTTTGCTATCAAACTTATTGGATGAGACGTCAACAAAGTCTAAATCTAAATTTCTTGGAGATCAAAGCGAACCATTAAGCCAAACTTTTCTCAAAAGAAGAACCAAAGTATTTCAGTCCAGACTCATTTTGATACAGGGCCCCTGAAGTCACATTAAAGTGATTAATGACCCCTGCATTATCTGTGACTAAACGAATCAAGACAATACCTGCACTATGCTTTTATGCTTCAGTCTCACTAAAACCTTTAATATATGAACGTATGTAATGTTTCAAATGACAGTAAACTTTAAACTGCTATATTAAGCAGGCCATGGCACAACTTAGCTGAAAGAAAGCATAACTTATAGACAAGCATTTAACTGTGAGGAAAATAGACAAAATCCTCAATATAATAGCTTTGCAAGAAAGACACTTGGTGAATAGAATCAATAGTCTCTACAATAATGACTTTTCATGCTTTCTATTCAAAACCAAAATGCAAATGTGTAATATATTATTTTCTACTCTATAAACTCTGCATTTGCAGCAAATGTCAATGAATCCATTACTTTAAACCTCCAGAAAGTTACTTTCCAATTTTCCTCATTATGTGGGTTTGATTTTACTGTCTTTGCATTCAAATTCTCAGAGACCTTGAAAAATATTAGCATCCATTTTACTAAATAACCCTTTTTTGTTCGCTACACATTCCCACAACTCAACCAAAAGCCCATTTCACAGATATTAATAAAGCATTAACCTGCATCACAAAGCAAGCATGCACTTTTCAGAAAAATGTGACAACTTCCCAAATGTAGTATTAGTTGCTTCTGATTAGGGTCATGTTGACACTTCAAGAAAAATTACAATAAAATAAATCCATAAAGGCAAAAGTGAACATCCACAATGTGACAATTCAATGCATTTCATCATTTTTATACTTTGGGTCTTAGAGATCCAATCAAACAAAATAAATGCAACATTTAAACGTCCTCTATTGAAAAATATGTTACCAAATTTATTTATAATCACTCATAAGACCTGAAAAAGTAATGAAGTTTTTAAGCTATTGAAAGTGTCCCAAAGACCCCAAGCAGAACGTTACATGAGGAAAACAACAGCCTAACAAGCCATCAAAACCGTTAAGACTCAATTACTACAACTTATGTTGCAAAAACTGCACATAACGCACAAAAACATTTCGATATACACAATGCGATTATGGAGACATCAAGAGAATCTCTAAATAATTATATCTAAAGATTAGACATTGTCTAAAAAAGTTGCTGAAATAATGCACGAATGATTTTACGTTTTAAAATGACAATTAAAAAAAACCAATTTACTTACAATAGTTCCACGCGCGTCCAAGTAACTATTTCGGAACGATGCAGAAGCGGTACGACCATATAATTCCCCTTAAAAGCGTCCTATGCTGCATCCATATAAAACAGAAGGGGGAAAAATCCAAATAACTCCTTGGATACGCGAAGTTTTCAACCGGACTAAACAGTTATCCGTGCCATGTCGACGGCGTCCGTGCGTAAACTCTCCAAGAGCGCACGAAACTCCAGAAACGCGTTATAAAACGAGCATTAAATGTCGGTGGATAGTCGGTCCACCGCGTTCCAGAGCTGGATCGGATTCTTTTCTTTCAGGTCCCGGACTTAGACTGGGGGTAGGGGCAGTTTGGTGGGGGTTTCTTTAGCCCCCCCTTTTCTCCCGCTCCCCATAAACAGCGCAGCAGGCGGAGGGAGGCCTCTGCGTGCTCACGTCACCGCTCCGCAGTGAATAAGCGCGCACAGATGAGATTCTGTCATTTGAAACCCTCACTAAAACCATTCCACCTCCAAAATAAGCAGACTGCGAACATGGGAGGGCATAAACGGCTCTTAACAGATTCATTTAGCTAATGTGTTTTACAAGCTATTACAATACTATTTAAACTGAGCTGGATGTTGACATCACTGAATTCAATGATGAACTGTCTTTAACTGAAAAATTTGTGTTTACTATTGTCATTTTGCATTATTGACACTATTTTCCTAATTAATGCTGTTCAGTTGCTTTGACACAATCTGTATTGTTAAAAGCGCTATATAAATAAAGGTGACTTGACTTGACTTGACAAGCGGAGCGCAAAAACGCGTTCTGTATTATTTTAACTTTTTTCTTAGTAGAATCTAAAAATACATGTATAAAATAATACAATTATTTTTTATTATATTAATAATGACAATTAATATAATAAAAAGAATATAGTATTAATATGATATAATTAAAATATTATATAATCTTAGAGCATTATTATTTTTTTGTCCTTGTTTATTCATTCAGCTGTGTGCCAGCTATTTATTTTGAGATAATTATTTCAAAAATCAGACTTACCATTTGTACATTGCACATTATAACAATAAAAAAAAAAAAACTATTTACTATAGTCTGTAAGGAAGAGATATGAATGAGAAACATTTTATGATTTAAGGAAAACTGGGAAGGGTCAAACAGTAATTTGCATTCGAAAAAACCAAAGGGTATTGTTATGTACGAGTATTCAAATTCTTATTAATTTCAATCATACTGAAAAAATACATCACTGGGTGTTTATCAGAGACAGCATCTGTTTTATTCATGAAAATAAATGATGAACGAATAAACTAAATATCACAATACATACTGTGTTGACACACTGTAAGTTAAAGGGCTGCTCCTATTACAGCAAAACAATGAACAAAGGCTTAGTGCAATAACTCATCCTTTATAGAGATGCCCTGGAGTATTGTTTACACGCATTTTTCTCTTTATTTAAGGGCCATTGTGATCTGTACCATCATAAAGGGCCGAGGCCCAATCAGCGGGAAAGCCACGTAAAGCGTTGCTGTGATTTTATTTTGATTTGCCTCATGTTTTTTACTCACACATGCCTAGTTTAATCAGGCTTATAAATCAAACACTATAGCGCATCCCACGTCCTCCTGGTGGCTGAGAGCTTAGCGTGGTAAATTTCAGCTGGGCTGAAGAATCATTTGAGGATGCTGGGGGAAATGATAAAGATCACTTACCACTCCACATGGCCAATCCATAAGACCATAATGAGCACTGTATACTGGAAGTGTTTTCCTCTGCTATTTTAGTGTGTGGACCAGTGTAGAACTTGATAAAGCAGCCAATCAATATTTTTATGCCGTTATCGTACGACTGACTGTTCTTTTAGATCCAAAATGTAGTTAGATACATAATTAGGTCAAAACTTGGTGCATTAGAACTGAGGATCTGCTAAATATAGCTTTATTATACCCACAAAATTATGTTTTTCAAAAGATAAGCACTTGAATAACAGGTTTCAGCAACCAAGCAAAGCAATACACAAAGTTTAATTCAGTTTAGCATATGTGGAGCTAATAAACAAACATCATTAACTCACAAAGCACTGTTTAGTGTCACAATCATTTTTAATAGCTTCCGTGAATAGCTTCAGGGCACAGAAGATTGCGCTGTATTTAATGGCTGTTTTTCTGAGACAACTTTAAAGCTTCCTTCTAAAAAAAAAAAACTTGCCTGTCTGAGGTGCTTTCAAAACTTTGGGCATGTTTGATGGCAGAGAAAAACGATGGGGGCCGCCGCTTGTCAAGTTTTGGGGGAAAAACCCATCAATTGTAGGGGGCCTTTTACAGAGCCTTAGGGGATCTCCTTTCAACATGCTACAGAAATGCAGTCTTTCCATCGACAGAAAATGCAGCATTTATCGTTAGACCCACTGTGCGGAGAACATGCTTCTGAATACACAGCCCATCTTGTGTGTGTGTGTGTGTGTGTGTGTGTGTGTGTATATACAGTATGTGTTTATTTGTCTACTGAAAGTGAACTGATCCATAGCCAGGAAGGAAAGCAGACTGACAGCTATTAGAGTGCAACTGCGCTGTCTTATCTGCTGCCTGATAGGAATCTACAAAGACCCACTGCAGACATTATGAATTCATTACAGACAGTCCTCACACACACACATACACACACACACACACACACACACACACACACACACACACACACAAAGGGGTCTATACATTCACAGTGAAAGGAGAGGTCATTCGTGTTCGCTATCATATATATTAAATGTAACCGTCTTGTCGCTTTTGAACGAAGGAGAATATGGCTGTTTTTCAAAAGATGCAAAGGTAGGTCATTCCTCCCTTACAGGAGCAGAGGGAGAGCAGGTTCAAATGCTAAAACGGCTAGAGATGTACTGTGCTTTTTGTAGTCAACGGTCAGTGAAACAAGGGGATGTGTCTAAAATGTGAAATAAGACACTCAAGGATGCCTGCGGTCTGTTTCTCTGCAGGATAACAGCAGAAAGACTCTTAAAGGACTAAAAGGCAATAGCATTTAACAGAACTAAAAGCGAAAACCAAACAACATGCGTATTATGAGGTGCAGAAGCACCGAGGCAGTGCGTTTCAGACGGTGCCAAAGAGACTGAAAGAAAAGAAATGTCAGGTAGAGGAGGAGAATGGATTTGGAAATAGTTTACCTAAAAACATACTCACCCTCAAGTCGTTTCAAAGCCAGGCGGGTTTCTATCTTCCAAGGAACACAAAAGGAGATTTAGAGCAGATTTTTTTTCCTCTTTTCCATACAAAAACAACCATAGAGTGACTGTACGTAAGTATCAAATTAGTCTATACAGAACCTGCATATTCCAAGTTTTTAAAAATTATACAAAAGCTTAGAGACAAACCAAATAATTTATTATTAAAATATTAAATTAATTATTATTAAACTATGATTCGTTATGATTAGAATATATCAGTTCTCAAACGTCATTTACATATTTAAATTAGTGTAATACAGTGTTATTTTTTATTGTTTTTTATTCATATTTTATTCATATTTTGAAGCTTTTATTTTTATAATTTAATTTGTTATATTTTTTTGTCATTGTATGAGCCTCTGTATATGTTATTAATTTTTGTTTGTTTTACATGTTATCATTTAGATTTAATTTATTTCGGTAATTTTTTTTTTCCAGTTAATTATTTTATTGCTTTAATATAAACTAAATGAAAATTATGATAGTTGCTTTGGCAATTAATTGAAATAAGTTAATACATTTTTCATCTAATAGTCATAATTTATATTTTATTTCAGCTTAATTTCAACTAACAAAAATATTTAATAGTTGTAGTATTAGTAGACATTTGCAACCCTGACCTTAGTGTAATCAACCATCAATGATGTCACTGTTGGTGTAAAATGTTCCTGTGCAAGATTTGAATGTATACAAATGCCAATAACGAACATACAAATCTATCATATGACTTTAAATAGAGTGCACAAGTCATATGGACTACATTTCAAACTCTTTTATGGTGCATTTTTATGGTCTGAAATGTGACTGCCATGGTCACTATATGCATTTGTTGTAAATGAGCAGCATGAACATTCTGCTAAATATCTCATTTTGTGTTTTACAGAAGAAAGAATTCGTTGGGTTTGGAGTGACATGAGGGTGAATAAATGATGACAGGATTTTCATTTCATAAACCACGCGAAGAGAGCAGGCGGGCTTCAGAAAGACAGTAACAGAAAGAAAGGGGAACTCAGGAGACGTGTGTGTGTGTGTGTGTGTGTGTGTGTGTG